TGTAGAAGCGCGCTGATATTTTGCCGGTCGGCTTTGCCCGTCTAGCAGACGTTCACGTTGTTAAAGCTGCCGAGTTGCCTACACTGATTCTGCAGGCTCTTCATGAGACTGTCGGGAATGATCAGCTTACATGTTGCTTTGGTCGCGCCAAAATAGCCGCCGACGGCATTCACTACCAGACCACAGATAGCATTTTCGTCCACGTTGTTGCAGCCGAACTTGATAAGATCAGGGGCAAAATTGTTGATGACGTTCTCGATGGCGTTGCAAACTGTTGACTTGAGACCCCTCTTGAATTCTTCATCTTCCATCAACATGCGGGCTGAAAACGGAAAGTTAAGAAGTTGGGGGAATTGGTTTTAATTTATTTGCTACAGAATGGCTATTCATTTTGTCTACAAAACGGCTTTTCTGAGGAACTGTTGAAAAGGAGATAAAATGTACTTTGGGCGATAATGTCTTGAACAGTATCAAGACACATTGCAATAGAAACGAATATTAGAAAACCGTTCAGTTAGATCGTAGCGCGGTGTGTTGATGAGGCGTTGATAGTAGTGTAGGCACATCAGGTTGGCATTAAATTACAAATCGAGGTAAAATATTACAGTTTGACAATTCATGAATACCAGGAGTAAATAAAAGTGCATTAAGCCAGTATTTGTAAATCTCTCTTACCCACTCTCTCGTCAAGAGACTTGGCGGAGGCGAATGTCGCGACAAGGCAAAGTACAGCAACACACAGAACCTTCATCTTAACGTTGGCTGAAACTAAAGATGACAAGAACTAGACATTTAAAAGAAAGGTTGCGACGAACATTTGATTTCATGTTTTAAAGACCGAATCTGCGTTTAAAAATGTCCCAAAGTAATACATTTGTGTCCACAATCACGTATCCTGCTTAGCTATGTATCTTTCCTAATTAGTGCAAACTAATTAGTGCAAACTAATTAAAATAATTAATACGATAAAACACCTCTAAAAAAGCAAACATTGTCCATATTTCCGTTTAAAATGCTCGGGATGACAAGGCGATCTAAGACCCCATTCCCAGAGATTGGATCGATCTACTTTAGATCGACCTAACTCCCTGGGGGTTCACGCTAAATAGCTGTCAGCCGAGCGGGCACGAAAGTTGATTACCCCCTTACAGCTAGTGGTAGGCGGGACGGACATTTAAGCCGGATTATCTGACAGTAATCTAGTGAGACTCCCCGCGGGGAAAGATCGATCTAAAATCTATGGGAATACGCCCTAAGTGCTTTATCTAAAGAATTGATATAAAACATCAAACCCAAGTCCAAGGATAGGATCGGTCAATAATTTGTGATTAGGAGGTAAAAAATTTATCGAGTGACTTTGATTTGGTTGGAAAAATCACAGATGGGAAATCTAAGAAACTGACGATTGTCGTAAATTGAAGTTTTCACTGCATTGCAATTTGATTTCCACCAGAGTTGTAGAGAAAAAACCGAGTGTGCATGCAGAAATAGATATAAAACTAGAAGAAATAAAATCATGGTACATTGGGCCTGCGCCCTTTCATAGCATAATTTCATTTAAAAGAAATGACCGGACATCATGCCTCATTATGGAGACACAATTCCTAAATGCAAAAAATGTAATAAAGTAGGCCCTGACGCGTATGTTTGAATAGGTCAAGTTGAAATAGACGAACATATCAAAAAAAAAATAAATAAATAAAAATAATATATATATATATATATATATATATATATATATATATACGAATGTCCTTTTCTCGGCGTAAGAACCTACCTGGAAGAAGAATGTGATCGGCGCAAATATCTGTAAACCGCAGGAACAGTGTGCCGATCTTCACGGAGTATCCCCCATTTATACCCCNAAATAAATAAAAATAATATATATATATATATATATATATATATATATATATATACGAATGTCCTTTTCTCGGCGTAAGAACCTACCTGGAAGAAGAATGTGATCGGCGCAAATATCTGTAAACCGCAGGAACAGTGTGCCGATCTTCACGGAGTAGCCCCCATTTATACCCCTTAGAGGCCCTGCCCGCGTGGCTCGCTTTCAGCAGAAACCTGCTGCAGGCGTGCCTTAGCGTAGGAGTCGATCACTCGTTACTGTACCCTGAATTTGAGTACTTTGTCGTGGTGAAACCGGCAATTTTAATTTGCTATCCGTGTAGGAGCTTTTCGGAATGTCAGGGTGACCGTGTCCCTATCATGTTTTTCGTGACTTTCTTCAAACTTGCTATTTCGAAACTGTTATGGAGATTTAGGCAGAGACCCGAACTTCCCAAGAGTGAGGTCAGTTTAAGGATACGAGGATTAAGCTATCTGCTATGTGTATCTGCCACCTGTTAGGTCGCACCATGAAAGATTGAAGAGATTGGGCTATTATTGTTAATTTTCTTTGACAAAAAATCCCCTTAAACATGCACAACTTTAACAACTGTGACCCTCAATAGATTGTTAGGTAACACCTACCATTTACGTATTCTTGGCAGTTTTTCAAAGATTTCAGGCATATGGGGTTTTTGTTGAATATTTACAATTTACTTATAGTTGAAGAACGACTCTCACCTTTAAAAATATCTTTCTTATTCTCGTATTTAGCAGAAAGTGAAGATAATAAAACTTGGAATAAGAGCAGAGCCTACCATAAATAAACAGATAAATGATTCAAGTACATTATAAAGAAAAAAATGTTTTAATTGATATATACACTATAACAAGCACCCCCTTGAGTTGTTGCAGTTAGTGAACTTACAGCATCAGAACATTCTGGTCCAGGTTTGAGGTAAAGCACGCGAAGTGAATATTGAGGACACGGTATAATATTAGCACATTATCAGATTAACGTGAGTTCAGCAGCAGTGTTTACAGCAGTACGCGTGTCCATCGTGTTTGCCCCGTAGAGGTATGAGGTTGGCGGGGGGTGAGAAAGTTCGAAAAGAGCGCGCTTTTGGCAGGAAAAAAAGTCTGAATCAGAATTTGATCTAGGTTTTAGGTCATATTTCAGATTGGCCAACAAAGGGGTAACAGGGTCCACGTTTTCAGAATTTAGAAAAAGACACCCCACTCCCTTTGAAACTGCCGGCTATAGGCTTGTACCTGGAGGCTTCGGCTGGTTACCTTACACTTATTTTTTAAGATAGTTTGAAGTGGTAAAAAAATAGAAAGGCGGTGTTTAATCACGATGTAAAAAAAATAAATAATAATAATAAAAGACATGTAGGTCTACCTTTTTACTTTGATTACTTGTCACAATGATGATATATACATGCAGGTACACAATATTGTTCCAAGATATGCTCATCGTGATTTCTTTTTTCTCTTTTAATATGAAACTTGTTCAAGTTAATACATTATTTCTAAAACTGACACATCTTCTTGTTATCATTCTTCCATGATTAAGTAAAACGTAAAACTTCACGTATGTATTTGTATGGCATTTAAGTATATGCATTTGAAAGCATTTCAATCGTTGTAAACTTCGGACTTCATCCCATCTGTAGAGTCAGGTCTGCTCTTTTAGGATCAAATCATTTAATATTTTTTCAAAAAAGTCCCGTCGAATTAACGTAAATATTTAAAAATTATTTGGCTTTGGAGTGCAGTGAGATTAATTCCAAAATTCTTGTCCTGAAATTCACTTGAAAGTGTAATTGTTCCAGATGCAGTTCTTTATATAGCACTTCTTCCCTTACTATTATTCATTCTCCGAGTTTACTTATTTCAATTTGCACATAACATGATGACTGTTGCAGCAACAAAAATATGTCTTTTGAAGACCGTTCAGTTGGCAACCTTGAGAAAGCAAGACCCTGGAAAGTACTGACACAGATGACAGACTATCTGCCCGCACGATATATATTTATATATGATAAAGACAAAATCACATGTTCACTTGACTTGGTCCTCACTTGATGAAAAAGAAAAACAAGGAATTGTTTTTATTTTTTCCTCTTCCCTATTTGTGCTCCATGTCAGTGGTAAAGTTCAGTTTGAATACTAAGGCATTGGGTGTTGTTGGATCAGCTACGTATATCTCCTGGCCGTGGGTGAGACCAAGTTCTGGAAGGAAAATACATAATAAGTATACCACAAAACATGCCATCTTATTATATATATATATATATATATATATATATATATATATATATATATTACTGCAAGTTTTAATATAATTGTTTGTTCGTAAAAAATAAAAAAAATAAAATAAAATTTTCCATCAATAGTATGAACTTGGTCTTTATTATCATTTATAATAAGTATCAAACACAAGCTAAAATACATTCATACCGTTAGCTTATGGAACCAGCAACAGTATTGACCGGAATTTAACCAAGATACTTGAACCTGAGTAATCTAACATCCCACGCAAGATATGAGAGGCTATCAACATCAGCTGTCACCAGCCACCCATGGGGGTCAATCTACCTGACATTTATAAGATGGTCCTGGCCGCAATACTACCTAGCGGTCAGTGAGTGTCAACCTCTGCTCACATCAGTCTGATGAAGGCCTACATCCAGGTTGGCCGTAAGCCAACAGTATGAATGTATTTCGGCTTGTGTTTGATAATTATCATATATTAAACTACCCACATTTGAAAATGTCCCAAAATCATATTATGTCTCCTAATTCAGACCTTTAACGGTCTTTTTAAAACTGTAAAATCAAATAAAAGTATCTGATATCAATATTTCCTTCCAAAATGTACAGAAAGACATATTAGTCTAAACATTACAATATGGTACACATTTAGAACTAAATAACTATATTTAAAAAAAAAATGGTATAAAATGTGTCATTCAAGTGCAGGGACAGATTGAGCAATAATTCATAAGTAGGACAGCATTTTTTTCCAATTTAAACAAATTTTAATTTGGTGTGGGAGTTCCCAAAAAAGTAAACCTTTAATCACATAAAAGTTCCTGAGTAGCAAATATGCATTTTTTTCCTGAAGGTCAACTACTGTAAATTCAGTGTATGATCTTTTGTGAATTACCTTGAAGAGATTTCTTCAAATTTTCTTTCGTTCTCTGTCGTATAGATTGTATAGTTTGCATGTACAGGGTCCTATTTTTGCCATCTATCATTGTCGTTATGCCAGGAGACTTCATTTGACTGAAAAGTAAAAAGATATTGACAAAATCTTGAACAACAGTGTACCATATATTATGTACAGGTTAAAAAACTTCTTTCGCCTAAACATTCACAAAAACTTAATAAAAAAAAAAAAAAATAAATAAATAAATAAAAAACGCAAAGATGTGCATATTATAACACTTTTGATATAACTTGGAAACTTACTAAGTTGTACTTTCTGTGAGATAATCAATTATTTCCTGTAGTTTTGAGTCCTCTGAGAAGTTTAAGGGTTGTGGCACTTGAGAACAAACGGGACAGTCCTCTTTTCTTTCAATCTCAAATGTATACGTATACACTCCTTCCGTGTCATTAAAATTGACATAATTGTTCAGCGGGGGACAGCAACTGGTCGCCAACTTGAACACCTCCGTGGCACATGCAGCTGGAAAACAAGACCATAAATAGATAAAGATTAATTTAGCCAATAAACATATCAAATATACTCTACTGGGAATGGATTGTCTTGTAAAAGGGTCATTGTGTTAAAAACTGTATAAGTTGTAAGAATAAAATAATTTTAAGGCTGTGTTAAAAAAGTGATACAGCTCAAGGATAAAAGCTAAATAAAAATCATTAAATGCCTTTCAAAACTAGTAGCCTAGTGTTGATTGGTAAAAAAAAAATTAATGCATGCAGGATGGCAATTGTCAGTCATGACAGACACGGTTTAATTTGCTACCCCCACTCAATATAAACAGACTCCTACTGATCTACTTGAGATTCAGAGAACTTTTAATTAAGTTACTGGAAGTGACACTGGAATGCTGATATCACAGGCAAGTTCCCTAGGTTTTATTCATAAATAACAATTAAAATATGCCTTATATATAATATCTGTGTAAGCAGTGTTGGTATTGTTTATGTAGATGGGTTTCCAGACAAACAGACAGGTAGAGATGACACACCTGATATGACAGCATTGGTGGAGGCTACAGCAGGGATTATCCTCTTGACTACTCCCTGTGTAAGGCGGTACGTTACCCCTGTTATCTGGTACTCCCTGGCCCTCTCCAACGACTTCTCAAATATCCACTTAATGTGCTGAGGGTCATCTCCGTCTATGTTTACTTCCTCTGGAATATAGTCATCAAGGCACCCGTATAACTTCTCATATGAGGCAGAGTGAGTGTTGAAGAAATGGTGATTCACTGCATTATGTGTAACAATGTGGACAATTCTACTGGATGATTTTGTTTAATGCCATTTCAATTACTGAGCACATTTTATCTCTTTCAAGTACAAAGATGTCAAAACATTCCTTCATATCTTAGCAACCAGGCAATAAACTAAGCATTTTTTTCTACAAAGATATAGGTTGCTAATGTACATGAGAATCAAGTTAAGTCAATTTTCTTTATTACCATGTTTTGTTAATTTTTTCTTTCAGTACAGATTAAGGATTTTACACGATTCTGAAGCTACACTTCACCATTCTCCTGCATACCTCCAAATGGTTTTTCCTGTGGCCAGAGTAGCACCCTGGCATACTCTATACAGTGTTCAGGTAGACGAGGTGTGTGGGCTATAGTACACATGGGGAAATTCACCTGCAAGTTTAAAATATATATAATATAAAAAATTGCAACTTTTAATAAACCCATAATCATTCATGATACTTCATATCTCTAGCACAAAAATATATATCACACTCATACACTTGTGGTGGATAAAGCTCTAGAGAGGACACACATGCACACAAACACACACACACACACACATACCTGGGGTGGATACAGCTCTAAAGTACACTCCACACAGGCCGTCATCCCAGGCAGGATCACCCTGCCATTTCCTTTAAAACCCTCAGTGCCGCCATCTACCATGGGGATGATCGACTGCTGGTCCACCATGCCATCCTCGTAGTTTAACAAACTGATCTGAAAGGCATAATTTTGTAATGATTATCTGCATCAAGTAAAGATTGGATTTCTTTTCAAATTAAAACGAATTACTGGAAATACTCATTACTGGTAAAAGAGACAGCTGAACATATTTTTACACGACAAACATGATGAAATTAGTAACTTAAACACTGAATTTTCTAGACAGGATTTAGTGCCATTTTGGAGAAGTCACAGAATAATCAACAATAATTTCAATAGGCTCCTTACCAGCATCCCATTGATCCATCTTCTGGCAACTATAGAATCTAAACCACATACTAATATGTGAAATTCTGAAAAATTAAAAGAGCAAAAATTTAATTTCATCATTTAATTTTACAAACATTAAAGCTTATTGTTACTTATTAACTGCCTGTTAATTAGTAATATTATTGAATCTGATAGATCATTTAACTTATAACAGTGTTTCACATAAATTTTCTTCCACAGAGAGCTCTTCCTCTGAATGGCAACATGGCACATAGAAATGGTAGCATTTATTATTATGCCACTTAGTACATGTACTTTAAACAGAAAAATGAGTTGTGGATTAAAAGCATTTTCAACTAATATCTGGAACTCTAGACAGTTTATTTATTTTTGTCATATACTATGTATCATCTTTTCCCTCTTTATTCTTTCTGTTTTTCTTTCTTTTTTTTTTTTTTTTTAAATTTTCAAATTGGTTTCTTTAAACTTTGGCAGGGTACACTTACGCCTGTAGAATGAACTGTCAAAGTCCTGGATTTTGGCATAATGACTGCAAGGACGTTGTCAAGGAAATATGTAAAGTCTGAGTATGGTTTTTGAACTGAACCAATAGCAGAATTATTTCAAAAAAGTCTTAACTCGGTTAAAAAGTTTTGAAATTACTGTAAAAATTTAAATCAAATATTAGCTTGACAAATCAAACATAAAAACCTTAAAATGAGAAGCGTGTTTTTTCTGCATCTACATGTAGATTTGTTATATTAACACAATCACCTAACATCTAAAATCACCAATCTATTCAAATATTAACATAATTCAAAAACCAGACAAAGGTGAGGTACATGACAGCCACAAACTGGACTCTATTTTTAACGACAGAAAGGATACGGTGTAACTTCACACCCAGGCACTCTGGCGTTGACAAATGCTGCGGCACATTCCGCCTTTGGTTTGCCCACATCTGATCTCCTGGAAGCATTGGATTTTAATCATTAGACTTTTTTTAAAAAGGGAAACAATCTTAAAAAATTCAATATGCCACCATCCTCCGAACTATCATTCAATTATTGATTTTGCTGACTGATTGAAAATGCTATCATAAAAAAGGGAGAAAAATTCATGAAATATTCTCAAATGGCCTTCGTGTTGAATAAGGGCAAATGAACATAATTGGTGTTAAAGTTGAAATCAAACATAAGATTGACAAATCAAATATAAAACCCTTAGAACGAGAAGTGTGGTCATTTTCTGCGTCTGCACTTGTTATGGGAGACCTATAAGTTCAACAAAATGATATAGCCATCACACAGAATTACCTGAACAGAAACTGTCTATTGAGATTGGAGACATCTATTGTGTCCATGTCAATGACATCAATTTTCCGAAACCCAAGAAGGGCCTGAAAATAACAGTGAAAAAAGTTTTCAATATTTGCTGATATGAGTTAGAAGACATGATAGTGATTGTTTGTAAGAAAGTTTGGAGATCTAACTATTTTTGGAGTCCTGGTAAATACAAGATCCCTGAGTAAAGTACAACTCTAATTTAGCTTTTATTTATTTTTCTCTTTTAATAACAAAATAAAGGATCTCCAGAAAAATAGGAATCTAGTATCTATTCTATTATGTCAAATATAATATCCAAAGGAGAGCAGGGATATATTAATATGTTTTATAGTTTCTTACCAGATCTTTGAGAAGTTCACAACCTAAACCTCCAGCACCAATTACTAATATCTTGCATGACTCCAGTATAAATCCCAATGTCTGGAATAAAAACCAACTCTCTTTTTAAAGAAATATGTTAATCAAAAAGAGTGAATTTCCTTTAGCTCAACATCTACTCTGTGTAGATGTTATAGAAATAAAATGGTGAAAAATTGGAATTACACAGTTCAGACTTTTTCTATTATTTTCTATTGTAATTGGATTTTATTTAATTCTAAATGCCCCAAATAGTGTTAAACCAGAAGTTTATTTAAAATATGCATCCTCTCCCCTTCCCCTTTGTTCAACATTTTCTCCTTGCTTTTTTGTCCAGCTATGGATCATTAAGTTTTAATTAACATGAAGTTATTAATATTATTCCATTGTAATATTCTTTAATCCAAAGCATGTCGGTAATTGTAAACAGTATACCTCCGGGCTGGCTTCAAAGTCTGGATGTGCGAAGGGCCCACCTCGTTCCAGTAGCTTTTTAATGTGATTCCAGCGGCCGTGCCAATCCACGGGATCTAAAGCCATTCTGTAAGTAATAATAACATTAATATTAACACCATTTTGTGTGACTCACCTGCAATAGGCCTAAAGTACCAGAACAAGATAAAAGTGAAAAATTGAAATTAAAACTCTCTCCTCCCTAGCAGGGTATTACTGTAAGTTAACCAAGGAACTACTTCTATAATTTCTATTCAAGTCTTCATATTTACATATTGCATCATGGTGAATCAATATACGTATACTGAAAACGCCTGAGGCAGATTACAGATATTGATACTAGAGAGTATTGTTTGACAAGACCATACCGGCTCGACAGGATTGGCAAAATCCTTAAAAACCAAAGATTAACATGGTATTTTTTAATTTAACAAACAACAAGGTTAAAAAGATGAAAATTTCTGTGTTATTAAAATCGTCAAAAAAGGTTTTCTAAACGCCAATAACTTAATTTTTCCTGAATGAAATGTAAAGACTGGGACTCACGGTTCTTCAGCCATGTTGTATAAATTGCAGCTTAAGCTATTCTTCAATTTCCCTAAAATGTAATGATATTTTCCCAACATCAAGGTCACATTCAAGTTAAAATTAATATATTTAATATAAGATCTTTTTCAATGAATATATTGATGAAATCTATACTTTCCAAGCTTTTATTCAACATGCACATAAGCGGCCTTGACCTAATTCTGAGAATCGATATGGACGAGGTGGAGCTCGCCCCGCTGCGGCCTCTCTCAGATTTTTTGCTGGAATCTGCCAGGTTTCAGGTGCCGTCTTTGAGAGACCCAACACGATGGAACAACCGAATGATCAACAACTTGCTGTACTATCAGACCAACTATTTTCTCTCGGCTGTGGTGATATTTTTAATAATAGGGTGAGCTGATGCACTCGGAAACAGATGGAGTTTTGTTTTCATTTATTGACATATTTTGGGGTCTTTTATTTTATTGTTTTACTCCTTTATATAAAGTTATTGTGAAATCAGGATAATCAGGAAGGTTGGGGACAGTATATTCATATCGAAAGCGAATTTGTGTTGTGAGTTTTTCAGGCATGATGGTTATCAGTAGACCAATGGCAGGATTTATTTCACTTCATTGTATTTTAAATGGTGTATTTAACATAGCTCAGGAAAAGAACTTAAAAGATGCCACTTAATTTACGTATCAACAGTAGGACTGGACAGTGAATAAAGCAATGTTTTACTGCAGTTTGGTACTTCAAACTGTTAGCCCAAAAGACAAACCTTGTACATTTTGAAAGTAGTTTTCTAGTACGGGCTAAATAACTTTTCATGGAGTAACCGCATGACATTGATTTCCAGGTGGAAGGGGCATGATTACCACACCCAGAACATGTAGACAAGATATGAAATTAAACAGCGTCACTTATTTTTCAGTGTTTTGCATCCTGTGAAAATGGTGATAGGAGTTCTGGCTGTGGCGGTAGTGTTCTCTGTCTTTGTGTATGCTACAAATAACAAAGCAGCCACAAGGCATTTCAAGAAAGACCACCCCTTGCTGTGTATGGGTGGTGTTTTATTTGGTGGTTATCTGTTGGTTTATATGGCAGGAGCAGTTATTGTGTTCCTCTTCGGGATTGCTTTACCTCTGTTTTGTAAGTACAAATTTTCTCATACTTTTTTTGCTCCTAATTCTTGGTTTTAATCTAGTGAATGATTTACAAAATTAAAACACTAGTAACAAATTTTAATGGCTGTTAAAGAAAAATTATTTGATTAAATAAAATAATATGCTGTTTACTAAATTACTAAAGTATGTATATTTTTTTCATTATGTAAGGCTTATATTTCAGAATTCTACTTTGTGACATATTTAAGACATTTAGGGTCATTTTATATTTTAAATTTCTTAATAGTTAAATTTTTCAATTTTATTACAGTACAAGTGTAACATTTAAGGTGTAATTCAAATATGACATTTTTCTCCATAATTTGCAGTGATACTTTTACATTCATCCCTTCGTATGAGGAATGTGAAGAATCGTTTCACCAACATCAAAATGGAATATGGAGACATTGTTGGCATGAAGAGGACACCCATGAACCTTATTCTGGATGCGTTAGGGCAGCAACCTGAAGTTGTTGCACACTGAAATGTGATAGTTGAGATGTCACATCCAGCACAATGGGCTTCACACCTAACACAATGAGACCTAGGTCTGGGTCAAATGTTTGACTGTGCTGAAAACTTTTGGCTGATTTATAAAATGTGCTATTCTGAGTACAGTAGGCATTAACATTTGCCAAGAGACTGAGGCAGAATATGCATCACTATCACTGAATGTGGTCATTTGCTTTGCTTCATTGGTGTTCTTATGAATTATGAATTTTCTGATGGAGTTGTCCATTTGTCAAATTATATGGAACAGTTTTGATGTGGTGCTAAGGTAAAATCAAAATGTACACTAATTCAATAATTGAAAATATGATATTCTTTGTCTGTCTAAAACCATACACAAAGATGTCGCTGTGTTACATGAACTTCATTTTATGAAATATGCTGATGATTTACCTAATTGGTGGTCAAATTAACTGTGACATTTTACATATTGCCAGAACCATGTTTCATATCTTTGGGACTGTAAATGTAAATAATATCATGTAGAAATTATAGCAATATATATAATTATTGAGCGAGTCCTTGTTTTGATAATATGTCATTCATATAAACAAACAAAAAAAAAAAAAATGAGATGTAGCATTCAGAAAAAAACTGATATATGTACACGCACAGATGGGTCCTATTTTACTTAAACTGGCTGTGCACCCACAAAATAAGAAATCTTTCCCCTGCCCTTTGTTACACTTTGTTGTTTTTTTTTTTTAATTCTATCATACCAAGTTCCTTTCATTTCTCTTTTCTTCTTCCTCCACTACATACCCTTCCCTCTCTCGCATGTCGTCTTTGCTCAAATCAGAGAATGACATCTTAGATGAATTCTCTGCTAAAATTCCATTGCCACCAATTTTCCCGCGTCCTCTCCCCGTCACATTCGGACCATCATTAGACAGGCACCAGTAAGCACCAATGGCCACACACGTCACCAGCGCGACACAGCCCTTACTTCCGGCCCGTGGCGGAGGCAATCGTAATTATTCCGGTCAACCGGGGCACGAACATACTGGGGACAACAACAACATGGCGAAAACCTCTTGTAAAGAGTGCTGTACGAAGGAATTTCACCCTAGAAATTTTGGTCTCAGTCATGAGAGTCCCGAGCTGTTTGCGACGGCCCAGGTAAGTTAGGGAGTTCATAGGTATGATAACAGTGAGACAATGTCACTGAGGTTATCATTATCAGCTGATATAGGTTACTTTTGGGGCAAAAAAATAAACAAAAACGGACAAGAAGTGTGATCACGTAGGATTTAGTTTACATAGTATTTGTAAACATATTTATCTTCTATTTTTAATGAAATGAACATATTGCAGTTATGATTATAATCGTAACTTGTACAAAAGTATTTTTACCAGAGGAACGACTTTGACATGTACATGATAAAACTGAAATTGATATGCTCTATATCGGAGCAGGGAATGCATACATATACTTCCATGATCAGAGCTATCGGGAAAAAAAGAGCTGCCTATTATTTTGTCGCCTTTTACAACGTTTACCTTGATTTAAGACAGTTGATATACTTTTGTGAACATATTGATTACTCGCACGGTCATCGGTTACTTATAGTTAATTCATTTAACAAATTTAAGGAATTGTGAAATCGGTCTTCTCTTATGTATATGTGTGGTTAAAAAAGAAGGAGTGTTGGTAAAATAGGACACCAACATTCAATCTTCGCTGTAGTGTAATATAGTCGCTGTACATGGAACCGGAATTGTATAGATATAATGAGTAGATGACTGGACTGAAATTACCCGTATTGTATATTATATTGTTGTACAGGGCGTATATAGGCTGTATGTTTTATTAATGACGCGTGACTCAGTGTATAGTGTATAAGCAACCACATTACGCGGCTTGACTGCACCCAACATGCTCAGTCCTACGCCAGATACATTTAATGCATTTAAAATGTATATACACTGCAGTGGCGGATTTAGAGGATGGGGGTGGGGGGTGGGAGGGAAGGGGGTCCTGACCTCTCCTTCGGTTTCTGAAAAATATATCACAACAATATTCCCCTCTTGAAATTAGAATTTTGAATAACTGAATCATATAGTTCTAAACCGTACCAAAGATCACCGCGGGCCGTTTGCCCTCCAAAACACCAAACTTTTTCGGGGCCCTTGAGCAGGCCCCGATCCCCACGTCAAGGGGGCGATGGTCGGCTTCGCATCCGAAGCTTGTTATTCTGGACCCCCCCCCCCCCCCCCCCCTTCAAATAATCCTGAATCCGCCCCTGCACTGTGTCTCCACGTGTTTTCCACTGCAGATTCAGAGTAATGGTATTTTTTCTAAATTTAGAAATCGATGTACACTGACTACCGTAAGGGAACGTTAAATGAGAGAAAATTTCGCAGGGGAAGTGGCAAAAGAATAACACGTGTGTCCTGGCATGTTTATGTCACACAAAGGAGCGAATCGAGTCAAGTAAATCGCAATATGATAGCCAAAAATATTTGATGTTTTGCGAAAAAAATGGACGCCTCATTTAACATAACGCAACCCATTTTCTAACACTCATATTCATCAGCAGTGGACGACCCAACGGAGGCATTGAAAACGCGACTCAGTCAGCATGAAGTTCCTCTCTCCAACAGTTGTCCGCCTTTACATTTAATGTATTATTGTTATTATTGTAATTGTATAAGTGGCCTCTGGATTATTTATAGGCGTGTCGGTGTACTATGACAATAACAGCTATGGCGCAAAATACTTGCAGGTTGGAAGACTGTGTCAAAAATTAATATTTCATTGTTACACAATTTTAATAGAATTAGCCCTCCATAAAGTTATATAAACAGTGAACGTTATGAACGCTAAAGATTGAATGCCAGCCTAATGATAGATTGCCAAGGACGTCGTCACAGTATTTGAGCTTTCTCTTGACTTCACTATGCTGGATATTAGTATAACAGCTTCAAGAACTTTGACGATCGCCCTTTGCCCAACCTGACGAAATCATAAAAGTTATAGAAAGAACTTGTCATTACAGGGAGGATTTGGAATTGCTTACGTCATCTACCGCGTAATCTGGGCGCTGTTCCATGTGACGTGGATAATTCTCAGTGGCGTCATACCCTACAGTTGGTATAGTAGCGAGTCCAATCGCATTAAATGGTTTATCTACCTCACAAACTGGTCCTACCTCATCCTGACGGTTAGCGCCATAATGCAAGCTGCTGTGGCTATCAACCATTATGTAGAACGCAGAAAACATGGTAAGAATACACATGCATTAAGTAAGATTTCATGGGACAATTACATGTACCTGAGTTTCTTATTGAACTTCTCACCTCCATCGCTGATATCGCGTTGATGTGTCTCGGGCAAAATAAAATGTAGATGTGCAGATCTGTGTGATCTTCTTGAGGAAAATTACATGATTCAGTTCATAAAAAATTGTAAAGTCTTTTCTACACCTTACCAATAGGAACGTAAAAAAAAAGGATAGCTGAAAATTGGATGTTAACTGTTAGTGTCATACCAATGACCTTTCATGAAAAATGCTGATCTGACCGACACAAAACATTTTACTGGATTGAAAAAAAAAAAATAATATGTTCAACATCCACGCTGTATACGTATCGGATCATCTTAAAGTGGCAGGTCGAATATGTGCTATATTTCATATTGAGAGTGATCCCAAAATTTGCCAGGTCTTACTTTATATATTTCACGCAACATTTTGTTTGTTGTTTTCAGGCGGCGTCCCATACCCGGCTATGACGTGGTACCTAAAAATGGCGTGGGTCATCTATAATATCAGTAGTAATGCCGCAATTGTAGTTACTGCGCTCTTTTGGGGTCTCATATTCCCGGCTTATTTAGGTGAGTTAAGTCTACTCAGAGAAGGAAAATTTAATTTCTACAGGCCACAATTTTGAAGGCTTAGACAAAACTACGATTCTTATGTGCCAGGAACAAGTACGAATATATAACACCAAGTATCGCGAAAAAAAAAAAAAAAAAATAGGATAAAAACGAGCAACGAGGTTTCCTGTTGACGTCGACATCACTCAAGTACTTAAAAAGCTATTTCCTAATTTTTCGAGTCAGAAACTGGCGAATACATCCCGTGTTTAATATACATCTTTCTGCATTTCCTCTAAATTTTGTTATCTCTTATTTTTTTTTTGTTATCTGTTATTGCGTCATATTATTAGGCAAAATGGAAGCATGGGTAATATGTTTAGTAACTTCCATTGATGTAGCATGCATTTAAGAAATAGGTACAATTTCTTTTGAAAGTAAATGGATAATATTTTAAAGACAATAAAAAAACTGGTTCATTGAAACAGATTAAAATTAACTTTTGTCGATGCTTATATAAGATTACGTTGTGCAAAGTATATTGTTTGGCTGAGAATGTTTTATGAAATATAGCCTTAATATCACTTTGCATATTTCCTCAGCCACCGGCACAGAGGTTCATTACATCGACGTGGGAACACACGGCGGGAACACCCTGTACGTTCTCATCGACATCTTCATCACAGCAACTCCAGTGAGAATTTATCACTTCCTGCACCCATTCTTGTTCGGGGTTACATTTCTGGTATTTTCTGCCATCTACGACGTAACAAATGGGACCAATGCGTTGGACAAGGAGTACATATACTCCGTGTTGGATTGGACCAGCAATGCGGGGTCGGCGGCCATGTACGCTGTGTTAGTTGCGCTGGTTGCGATACCGCTGGTGCAATGCGTGCTGTACGGATTGTATCGACTGCGATTGGCTCTCTATGGGTGCTGCTGTCCGCGTTCAGTTGGTCCTCTCGATAATGAGAGTGGTGATAAACAAGAATATCGAATGGCATAGTGTTTAGTAAAATAAAACTTCCGAGAAAGTCAAGACCAGTTCTGTATTTTTTTACACTTTTTTACACTCAGGAAGAAGGAAAGTTATGAGATAGCTACATTCCTTTTTTTAGACTGCAATGCATAATGTATTTTCTGAACATTGACTGTACATTCCGAATAGATGGAAGACAAAGATACAGTGTCAGAGAGGAAGATTTATTTTTATCATGTTTTGAAATAATTCCTCGTTAAATGTTGAGCGTAACTTAGTACCGAAAACTTGTTTTACTTTTTATACATCGAATATTTTATATGTCAACGCGTTATAAATGATATTGATAAATCTTTTGTTTGTGATAAAAGGGTGTTAGAAACATCATTATGACATCCAAATGCCAGTGCGAATGAAGGTGGCTGTAAACATAAAGATATGAATAAAATTATTTTGTTATATTTCGCACATCAAAGTTTACTTTAAAATCTCCTTGTGATCAACAAAATAATCTTGCTTTTACATGTCTTTTAGTTAATACACAAAATTTGATAAGGGTCTCTTTTAAAGTTGTTTTACGTATTACTCAAGATTCTTCAATTCAAAAACACTTTTATTAATTTTTTTCCTGTGGGAGGAACAGGTACCAAAATGTTTACATTATATATATATATATATATATATATATATATATATATATATATATATATATATATATATATATATATAACATTTCTGATTATTCTCAATTATCAATTAATGCATTAATTAGAAAAATTAATTTCCTTTTAACAAGTTTCTTTTTTGTTTTGCTTTTTTTTACAAATGTTTTCAAGTACATGCGCCAGTAAACGTATCACTTTTTATGCACAACATGATCCACTGGAGAAAAAAAAGGAAAATAAGCAGAAATACCCAAGGTATCGCCTTCCTTCTTATTGTAAAAGATGCCTCGTGTTCTTGGTAATAACGACACGGGCACCGTATATTCTTCATAACCAGTAGTGCGTATAGATCATCGTATACTATCATTATTACCTCTTGCTGGCGTTATTCTGCCTTAAAAAGAAACCAAGTGCAGGGTAGAGATTTAAACTGGGAATCGGAGACACCTCTGTAACTATAGGCCACCCACTTATTGGAAACGACTCCCCGGACACTATTATTATCGATTTTGAGATCACTGATAAACACTGATAAAGAGGAATATTTATCATTCTTATAGGATTGAATTTAAATGATGTTTTGTGTTGTATGAAACCACTAGGATTAATGTGTTCTAACCTGCATTCTGTATTTGAAACTGATAAAACGCTTAAGTTTCCTCTCCACTCAAATGAAAGAGGAGTGACTTCCGTTACTTCTCATACGTAAAATGTGCATACTGTGTTTAATTTAGTGTATAAAGTGAAAAGTTAAATCTAATCATATTATGTGCATTTTAAATGACACAAAAGAGGATTTTCGCACCAAAATTAACCTTCTCTTATTATGTCCATGCCCGGAGTAAACAGTATTTTTCCGCGATTAATCAACCTTTAATCTTCGATTCCTGCCACTAGCCACCACTCTGTAATATTTTTGGAAAATATAATAAAAGAAAACCTCCGCTTAACTTTGGTATTTTGTTAGCATTTGGTATACAATAAAAATGTACAACATGACAATAAAAGAAACGAAAGTGCATGCTGTTAAGTTATTTGTGAGGCATTATAAATTTATTAATAGCTCGTTTTTAACGTGTAGTATTACGGGTATGAACAAGTTAACCTTCCCTCTACTACTTCATCCCCTAGCTACCCAGCCCCCCCCCCCCCCCCCCCCGGACGGCAAAGATATCACACCATCTGGTTACGCTCGACTGTGGGGAACAACCTAAATAACTGAGTGGCATCGTATTACCTTCTTCCGGTGTCCCATACCGGCATTCACCCATTCAGCCTCTAGTAAAGAGTGCCTTTCTTTCTCTCAACAAGGTACTCACACGTTGCTGCCTCTCTAACACTGTATAACATGTCAAGGGAATCTTGTAAAGAATGTTGCACGGAAGAATTTCATCCGAGAAATTTCAGCCTCAGTCATGAAAACCCGCAATTGTTCGTCACAGCCCAGGTAGGTAATTACCGGAACTGTGATCAAATAGCCTAGGATAAGATACACCAAGACAACTACAATACAGGTATTACACAGCTGAATCAGTAAGATACTCCAATTATGCAATATAGATGGAAACTTCTGTATGGCAATCCTGTGGCGTGGGTAAATTTTTATACGTCTACACAGGCCGTGAAGTAAAGGCGTTATATCTCATCCTTGGTGATTAGGTGAGGTGCTTTCCTTGGAGATCGGAATTATTTGTAATTGGTGCCTAGGCATGTAGTGTATTATAAGTGTTAATTATACATACTAGTGCAAGTTCCAATGTGTGATGGGCGTGCCTTTCTATGCACACTGCCCATACGCCATATAGAATGTACTTCCTATATCATGGAAGTTTTAGGGATCATTCCCAATAAAACTATCGGTGTACGTAGATCGATCTAACTTCTCAGGGACTCTCACTGAATATAACGCAATCAGTTGAACAGATTAACACGTCTCATCTTGTTTTCAACGTACTCGTTAAATTACCAGCTTTTCTGTATTCTTCTCAACACCAGGAGGCGTGTTAATGTAATAATCTGATTGCATTCAGCGAGAGTCCCCGCGGCGTTGGATCGATCTAAGTAATACAATAGTTTCATTGAGAATAACCCCTAATGGACGTACCCTTTCATGATCATCTGTGTTGTGTGCTCTCTGCACTCCCTCCACATACCTTTATACAGGTAGTTATATTTGTGATCGTCCGAGCATGAACCAACATGTAAACTAAGAAGCACATAAGTTAAGTCCTTGTAAGGACTGTTTTGAAAACGCGACTCAGTCAGCAGTGCTTCTCTCCAACAGTTGTCCCCCCTTTACATTTAATGTATTATTGTTATTATTGTAATTGTATAAATGGCCTCTGGATTATTTATAGGCGTGCCGGTGTACTTTGTCAATAAGAGCTATGGGGCAAACGCTTGAAGGTTGGAAGACTGTCAAAAATTAATATTTCATTGTTACATAATTTTAATATAATTATCCCTCCATTAACAGTGTGCGTTATGAACACTAAAGGTTGAATACCAGCCTTATGATAGATTGCCGAGGTCGTCACAGTATTTGACTTCTGTCTTGACTTCAGAAGTCTTCACTATGTTGGATCTAAGTTTTAGCCCAGAAAATGGTGCATGTAAAAATATCCTGATGCTAATATTTGAAAAAAAAAAAAAAAAAAAAAAAAAAACGTAGACGATGGCCTTTTGCCCAACTCGACGAAATCATAAATGTTATAGAAAGAACTTGTCATTACAGGGAGGATTTGGAATTGCTTACGTCATCTACCGCGTTATCTGGGCCTTGTTCCATGTGACGTGGATAATTCTCAGTGGCGTCATACCCTACAGCTGGTATAGTAGCGAGTCCAATCGCATTAAATGGTTTATCTACCTCACCAACTGGTCCTACCTCATCCTGACGGTTAGCGCCATCATTCAAGCTGCGGTGGCTATCAGTCATTATGTTAAACGTAGAAAACATGGTAAGAATATATATATATATTAATTCATATGTAAAAAATTGATGGTCAAACAGATACATATATTAATGCTATCGAAACAGTCATCATCATCAAATATAACTTAAATGAGTGAAGTGCTTTTATTTAATTATTTCCCATATTTCAGATGGTGTCTCAAACCATGCTATGACGTGGTACCTAAAGATGGCGTGGGTCATCTATAACATCAGTAGTAATGCCGCCATTGTAGTTGCTGCACTCTACTGGGGCCTTAGAATCCCCCCAAAATTAGGTGAGTGAGGTTCAATCTACCTCCACCAGGCTAAATCTGTCCACATTTCTGTAGTGTGAGGTTTTTTGCACAATGGCGTCATCGCCCTGGTAGCTCCAGCTAGCACTCTTATCTCACCTCAAAAAAAAAAAAAAAAAAAAAAAAAAAAAATCCCAGTGATCTCCCGTAGATTATTATTATTATTATTATTTAGATGAAAGGCAATTACTGTCATGGTACTCGGAATGTGTTATTTTTTGAAAGTGACCATGAGATGCCTACGTATATCAGTGTACGGTTTGGTGTTTTGTGTAGGCCTACAACAGCAACGTAATCGGTCTCAAACATGTCTTTTGAATTAAAAAAAACTACCCTGTTACATATCCTACAAAAAGTGCGGTTTACATCTTTTAGTTTACAAATTATGCTTCTTTTTCCTTCTTTCAGCTGCCGGCGGTGAGATCCATTACATGGACGTGGGAACGCACCTCGGGAACGCCATTTATGTGCTAAGCGACATCTTCATTACGGCAACTCCAGTGAGAATCTATCACTTTCTACATTCTTCTTTGTACGCTATAGTATACCTCATATTTTCGGTTGTCTACGACGTTTTAAAGGGAACCAATGCCGTGGAAGGGTCGTATATATACCCCCAGTTGGATTGGGATGTTCCGGGCACAGCAGCCATTTACGCTGTGCTAGTTGCGCTGGTTGCGGTACCGCTGGTGCAATGCGTGCTGTACGGACTGTATAGACTGCGATTGGCTCTCTATGGGTGCTGCTGTCCGCGTTCAGTCGGGGAATTTAACACCGAGAGTTCTACAAAACAGGAATTTCAGTTAGTATGATTAATAATGGAATTAATACGCTGTTTATACTTTGTTTATTTTACATCAAACTGTCACTACGTATTAACGTAAAAATTATATTCATTACACACAAGTTAAAAACACTTTGTAATACTCTGTATACCAATGATTAATCTTATCTTTTCATGTCTTATTGTCTTGTCCCAGTATGTATGTTTTTGTCATCAGTGTTGTTATTTCCGTGATATTACAACAATACAATGCCAACTCATGTTGAGCGGTTATTTGAGTTCACGATTTCCTTGTATAAATATAAATATAGGGGCCTATGTCAGTATTTTAGGAAGATTTGAAACAGTTGTGGCCACATAAATAATACAAGAAAACTGTGGTTTAGATTAGATAACATTCATCAGTAGTAGAGGAAATTCGTTAGCATATAGGCGTAGCTTATATGAATTAACCTGACGATTTTGATAATTCCCCTATAATCTTATATCAATTACGCAATGTCTATAACAAGTTTATTTAAAAAAAAACATGATTTTGTTTAGACAATTGAAAGAGACAGTGCTTTCAATCTAAAATAGTTAGTGCACCGGCATGATCTTCTTCTGTTCAGATACTTTTGTTACGATTTTCTTACATTCTAATGTTAAAATAGTCATTGCGACCTTCGAGGTGACAGGCATACATTAAGTATAGCATGTGGCACAAATTTTCAGACTGCTTCATGTTTTTTAAAACTCGATGTTCACGTAGACGGAGTAGGGTAAAACTACGTTCAGTTGATCCCATGGACCACAGGCGTAGCAGGTATAAAAGAAAATGAGCATCCGGTATTACAAAAGACAAAGAATCTGGTCGTGACAGGAACTAACAACAAAGGGAAATCTTCCACTCTAGACAAGCGTTCGAGGCCGAAGGGGAAAGAAGTTGCAAAAACACCGCCACGTCACTGAACGAGATTTCTGCCAGGGTATTCATTTGTAGCACGATGAGAACTTGTATTTATGGTTTAATTACGTCAAAGTCTTGTCTATTGTGTGAAATTAGAGTTTGCGATCGACGCAATAAGATTATTTATATCGCAAATCCTTAGATATCAAATTGAATAACATTACATGCCTTATTTTATAACCTGTTCTTAGTGTTGGTCGCGCAGATGAACTTGTTATTGTGTACATTGGACTGATTATATCGGTATTTGAAGATCAGGTTAATCATTTAACCGGAATTACTTGTATTAGATAAGAAAGAGGGCTTTAATAACCCTCTGATGTAAGAATTGTTTGCATGGAGTAACGGCAAACAAATACAATGACAAATTTTTAGCTCACAAGGGTTTTCTAAGCGAACAAAAAGCAATATTTAAGGTACTCTGAAACAAAACCACAAATTAAAAAGATGAATAAGTAGATTAAGAAAAAAATAAAATAAAAAATAGTCAAAGTAATACAATGATACATGTATATCAAACCTAATTAAAAAATAGTAAACTAAAACGCTAGATTGACTGAACCATGAATTCAACAAGCCAGTTTATAGAAGAATAGTTTCAAAGATAAACAACAAATAAACTATTCAAAGTATTACAGGGTTTGTAAATTAACAAACAGCTACTGGATGTAGAAAGACCAAGTTTGGTGATGGCATAGCCGGTTTAACAGGAATGGAAGACAGCTGGGAACCGCAGTCCGCTTCCCATTACTTTGTACAGTTGACACTCGTCCCATATACTAACCCCAATACTCCAACTAACCCTAACCTGTACTAATCATGTGGGACGCCGGACTTCCATTGGGAGGACTTCCATTCCTGCTAACCGGGGACTCTCGAGTGGCCATACTGCCGTATACATGTACTACTCGCCGTATAAGTGGCGACAGTAAACATGTACCAACATGGTTAATGTATACGGCCTCGGCTGACTTTGACTGACATTTTCAGACATCCAAATCTACAGATTCTTACATGTAAGAATCTCACTATTTTAAACCATAAGAAACCATAAGAGACATTTCTGATATAGATAGGGCCCATAAAGCAAAAAGGACTGTAGATTCTATATAGATACGTCAGTAACAGGGTTGCCCTAGGTGTCCTCTGAGCTCATCTAAAAAAAAAAAAAAAAAAAAATTAAATCAGATGTAGATGAGTAACGGTCCGTGAAATATACAGAATTTAATCAAATCAATTTTGCCACCATGCCACCGTGATATGATTCATAAAATTTAGAACGCGGCTTTGGGGATATGGGGGAAGGGGAGTGGGGCTTAATTTTCCCCTTTCCAAAACAGATGGATGGATCAGGCAATTTTACCACCTTGTGTATCCGGATTTTAGTTTACAGTGACTAATGGGTGAACACCCCCTTTTTCAAATTTTAGAAGAAAATCGCACTCTTAGGTGAATGGAAGGGTGTCTCCTGTTCATTGATATCTCCAAATTATAATAGGGTGGATTTATTTCGTATAATGAGAAATGATAATAATAATCTAACTTTAAATCCTAGGATGACCACAGGCTTATTTCCACTGTTGCCCGTGCACAAGGTTTAGCAATTATAAGTTATACCGTGTATTTATACCACCAATTTTAAAAAGGAACTTATTTGAGCTATAAACGTAATAGATGAAAATATTGTCTGCTTCTTCTCTCAGTCAATTCTTACATCAGAATTTTGGTCATGATTTTTAAGGCTCAATCTTCAGCAGCTTTGATTGGAGTTTTGGTTACCTAAAGGGGTGATATTCCTGCTGTGTTCGGCAGGAACAAGTGTGATGTAGCCCTACTCTCTGCACCAAACAGTATTGCTTTGAGGTTTAGAAAATCTTATTCAATTTGTTTTTATGGGAAAGACTTCCTTGTATCCTCTAGAATAGCAATGATCGACTGCTAGTGTTGAGAGAAAAGGTTAATGATGAGAGAATGATAAACATTTTCCATCTGTTTTAGAGAGAGTCAGATTTCTTGTTTTTTTCATGTTTTTTTGGACATGTATGATACTCGAACCCCCATTGTATGACAAGCGTTTGATTTGGTTGCAGTGCGTGACATACGGGTCATGCACACACACACACATAGGAGAGAGAGAGAGAGAGAGAGAGAGAGAGAAGTATAGATATCTATTAAAGCAAATAAAATGGAACTCACGAACTGTAAATCCACTCAATTTTTTTCTGAAATGAATAACATGGGTGTACCCTGAGTGTCAGAGCAACGTTAAAGCTAGCTTGTTAAATATATACCTTGTGATTGAGTCGCTTTTAGTAGTTTTGGTATTGTTGATATGGGTTATATATGAAATCAAGATCGAGCTGACAATACCGGAATCTAGAACCTAGGGTACATGGGTGTCGACTAATTATAAAATGAAATAAATTGTTTCAGAAACGGAGAGATATATAATGATTCTAAATGATAATATTACCAAACTGTTGGATTTTTTTAAATAAATGATAATAAATGAATTAAAAAGAATAAAGGTTAATCGGGGGAACAATTTTAACGCAGATGTCGGTCCAAGGTGGATAAGCCTCCTTAAGATGCCTGTAGACAGTTCCGTAAAAACGACCTTGGCAGCGTAGACTGTAATTAAATCCCATTTTAATTATCAGTGATATTTATGCTCAAAATCACTATTGTACCAAGTTCTCAAACGATCAACTTTATCACTGTGGTGATCATTGGAGTAAGTCTTTGTGACACACGCTACAATAAAATATTTTTATCTGACAAAACACAGAGTACCAACACAGTGCACAGCAGAGTATTTCTATTCATGTTTTGACTTCACTTATACCAATGAATTGCATATAACACGTTTTGCGTGTGTATCATCAACATATTGTGTTTGGCCACAGAGCATCCCAACGACCCTGGATGCACGTTACTTGAAGGTGTGGTATTGTTCTGATACCCTCACGTGAGAAGTACTCACAATCGTTGCTACCCTGGGCAGAGGTGATACGGGGAATAGAAATGCGCCATATTTACATAAAGATTACACCAGGGAATATCAACAGACCTCAAACCAGGAAGTAAGTTTCGACGGCACAGTGCTATTTATTACACAGACTGAACAAGGTTCTCTCTCCTGAGCGTCTCTGTATTTCACAGCAACCGTTTAATGCTTTGTGACTTTGTATTACGTGATAGGCTTGTCACGAACAATGGTATCTTGACATCCAATTTACCTTTGTATGTCGAGATATAATACACTAATTAATACATTAAAAACTGCACCGCACCAACAATTTTTCTTTTTTCGTTCGTTTACGTTTTGCCTCCTTCCTGTAGATATTTTGAACAAAGCTCCGACAATTAACAGGGCTACTTTTTTTTAAATCATGCACTATATTAAAGCAGAGGGAGCAGACTTTTACCCAATTATTCACTCAACAGACGTTTTATTTACTTTTTTTTATTTCCGAGTTTTCCACCCTAATCCACAGGACTATGTTTCGGTATAGATACAGTCAACCTCCGTGCGAAACCTCACGTTTAGATGTTTTATTTTACGTCCTTTGGTTTCTCAATGTTTCAGTATCAGTGAAATATGATTATTAAATATAAAAAAACATCTTTATATGGATACAAAATTTGCTCCACAATTCTGCTAGATGCAAAAACTGAAAAATATGATGCACAAAGAACTGAAAAAAATTTATACGAATTCTTGTACTTACTTAATTCTCACTACAGTACATGTACTTTTAAAATTTTAAACACAACGACGCTTTTACATCGCAATTAATTCCCGATTTTGTGCATTTCATATATTTTGACCAAATAATTCTTTATCATAATCATATCATACCAGAAAATCTTATTGTATGTATAAATCTTATGCCTGGATATTTGTATGCGTAGCAGGGATCCGAGAGTAAATTCAATGTCCATTATGCTGCGTCTATATAACTATGACGTATGCCAAATTTTTCAACGTTTGAATTATGTAAAAGGCCAACCGGAGCTTACACGTATGTTCAATGTTCTTGTCTCTGATAACGATAGAACAGATTTGGTTCACTCCTCGTCATTTTATTATTGAGAGGATTTATAGGTTCGAAGAATGCAACATAAAATTGTTATCGACATTGTAAGACGTGGGGCCAGTATTGACTGTACACATTTACAACACTTAAATTTGTGGTTTATTTTTATCGATCTGTTCACCACATTCGCTGCATGATGCTTACGTCTTACTTTTCTGTAAAATTGACCATTTAAGTGAAAAAAAAGTGAAACAAGGAAGTGAGGTATATAGACGTAGTGAACAATCTTAACTGTTGCCATAGTGACCTCTAGCATTACATTAAACACGCTTTAGCTAAATCTACGCAGACGGCAAATGTCAGTCTAATGATTAAAACAAATAAATGTGAGACATAAAACTCCGATTGTTTATAAACGTCACTTACTACCATTGTTTGAAAAAAAAGACTATTTCAAACGTCTCTGCCTACTATAAATTGTTTAAAATTCATTTGCACTCAATTTTTTAGGAATGTAATTAATCGGGGATTTTGAACAGCATTTACCTAATTAAATAAGACTCGTAAATAGCTTTAGGGACATTTTCCACTGCTCTCTAACCTTCGAAGTCAGGAGTGGGCATGGCTTTGCTGCAGAGACATTAAATTTTAATGGGGTTATTTTCATCGATTTGAAGTCCATTCATTAAAAAGGAGCTTATCCAGCATTCTTAGAACTGTACATGTCATATTCGTTTTTATTCAAAATGATTTAAACAATGAGAAAACATAAAGGATACCGTTCGTAAATATTTAAGCAGACAGTTCGTGTAGACAGTGCTGAGACGTACACGCATTTGTGAGTGAATTTAAGGCATTGTTTTTAAAAAGGTAATTCCTTTCCACCGAGACTTGACGTATTTTTCTATCTACATATAAAGGCGTTCTACATGTATCAAGGGCCTTATTCACTCATGGGTCGGAATATTATACCCTGAGATGCTGATCTAAGAAGTTTTTCATTCTGTGGGTTTAGTAGGATAGGATTTCTGTTTTAATTGTGCATTTATATGAATGGTACCAGGCCGTTCAAACAGCAAACATGACGGGTGTTGAAGTACGGCACAAGCCTGCGTCTATTTATATCTGTATAAAGTACACAATTTTCTGAATAAAGCCACCGCCGCCTCGTTAATACACATAGTTAGAAAGCCGGTATCGATCCTGTCTGTTGCTACGAGTGAGCACAAANAAATAACGTTTTGGTGAAAAACACCCATTTGCCCATTGATTTGAATGGGGACTAGTGCGTCACGCAGGGTGTAACATATTTGGGCCTAGTTCTCTTATTTGGTCGGTGACCCCCAATTTTTTTGGCAAATTTTTAATGTACTTGGGTGTCTCTTCAAACAAAAAAAAAATTTA